ATGCCAGCCCTGGGACTCGCAGAAAACTCGACACAGCACCCGAGCCGCGGAAAATCAAGGCCTCGTTTGACTCTCATTTTGAAGAGGATACCTTGGGCTATCGTAGCATGGAAGAAAATCAATACCATCCTATTGAAAAATTTGTATACACGGCCTGCTTTTCCAAAGATCTCCTAGAAAACCTGTTCCAGAAAACACTTCCGGAAAAGTTTATGCTTGTGAAAGCAAGTCTCTTCTTTCGCATGGCGAAGGTCAAAGCTCTCTAGCTACTTTTTATCAAATGTTATTAAAAAAACATCCGAGTTCATTCTTTTTTTTACTGACAATACTCAGAGATTGTACAGCTCTTAGAAAAAATCAAATTTCTCAGCCAATATGGTACCAAGTGATGGGAATGTTTTTTTCATAAACCTCGGAAGTAGTACTATCTAATATATGATTCAGAAATTTTTTATTCATAAACTGTTTTTTTTCCGGTTTTTTTTCGAAACAGTACAATGCCAATGCAATTCACTCATATATATAATGACTTTTTAAACATGATATTGGAATTTCTCATCAATGTAATAAATATACAAGATTGACTAAGATTAAATAAACTGTGCCAAAAATGAGTTTGTGTTCAGAACCTACATGTATCACAGCTATAGAGGCATACAATTTTTTGTTGTCTGTTCTATTATAATCAGTGTTGGTAATTAAGAGAAAATATGAAAAATGCAGAATGAATAATATCGAGAAATACGGTTGAGCATGACTATTTTGTACATAACAACCAGTAAAACACCTTTTTCCTACTTTATTTTAACGTATAACCATGTGTCAAAATATTTTTTCTAAGGTGAATTGACGGCAAGTACTTTTTTTCTTATACTTCAATGAAACGTGTCAATGTATTAATACGACGAAGATAAGTCAAGAAAAAGTTATTTTTGAGGGATGAAGAATCAAATTTTTTTGTTAAGTTTCCTTTTTATTCCCACTGCGCTATCTTCAACTTTCAAACGTGTAAAAAATACAACTCCTGATCTACTTCTAAAAATATGTGATGCGCTCGACACTGAACAAGCAACTTATGAAGAAGATGATGAAGGATGGAGAAAGCTGTGTGAAAAACTGACTGGTAAAGATTATTCAACAAAAATTGATCAGATGGAAGCAGATATTTTAGATGAATTTGAACATGATCAAAACCTAATAAATGAAAAACAAGAAGATGATGTTGAAAGTGAGTAAATCGTATTTTGTTATTCTTAGCTAAGATAATCACAACTAACATTCTAATAACTAAACCACCACTTTCCAGCGGTTTATCCAAACGTAACGGTGTGACATTTTTGACATAGTATTAATAATTCGCAATTTTTATAGAAACTATAAGAGGTAGAAGGATGATTTTACCGCCATTTTGTGCAGTCAATTAAATGCTAATTACTTGCGAAATTACTTGAGCAAATGGAAACTGTCTAGAGCGAACATTTTAGAGAAGCTTACGAGCTATCTAATATTAAAAAAATTCTCTTCCAAAGTCTCTCCCTCGCTTATAAATGTCAATAAATAAATGTGACGGCGTGACAAACTTATTTGTCAGTGAATTTTCAGGCACTTTCATCATTCATGTCCTCCAAAAAACTTGATTTTTTATATTTGCCATAGATTTGATGATATTCAATCGATTTATATGAAAAATAAAGTTGAAAAATTTTTGTCAGGCTTTTAAACTTGGCTGAAACCTTGAAACATCGAAAAGGCATAACTTTTGTTCCTAAAGTCGAATTGTCGAAAACAATGAGCCATTTTGTAGAGAATTTAAGTTTCTATCGTATGGTGTAAATTTTAAAATTTTTTAAAAAACTTTCTAGGTCAAAAATTTTATATTTAAGTTTTTAAACATGTTAAATTAAAATTATTCTACTAAAATTTTTCATTTTATTTCCTAAGGAGATCGGATTCGTAATCAACGCGAAAAACTGCATCTAGTGATGTGCTCATATCGATTCTTGGATAATAAAAATTTTTTAAAAACTTAATCAGCAAAGTGTCGCGTTATGTGGACAAACCGCCAACATGCTATCTCTAAATGAATGAAAACGAGTGGTCTATTCAGTGAAGAAGTCTAAAGGAGTTCTATGAAAAGCCTAAAAAACAATTTTCTAAAATTCTAATATTTTGATAAAATGCTGGTATCGAAAAAAATCCCAATTCTAATTTCTGAAGCAAACATTTCTCGTTCAAATTTGATGACTTCCAACTTGGAGCGAAGCTTCCATCAAAAGTTATGACAGTTTTACTAGCGGTCCCAAACTCTGGATCATACTAATGTTCTATATCTTAAAATCGATTTTTCTCTTCGTCATTTTAAGAGTTTCTCACATTTTGTAATTAGTCTAGATGCTATTGAGCTCGGGGTTCGTTTTTGTTTGGTAGAGAAATGTTGTCGTTTTGACCGCACAGAAGCGGATTTTGAGTTTCGTTTCGGAATGTAAGGAAAACTAATGATCTCTGAAAAATCTGAAGGAGTCTGTCAATGGTTTGACGTCTTCGACGAGAAAGATGCAACGTTAACCACAAGCACAAACTTTCAGAAATTCGACTCTTTACTGTCAAAATGATAACATTTTTTCTACGAAATGAAAAACCATTTCTAGTTCTGTACTTCCTAAACTGAGAGACGATTTTAGAGAACTTTAACAGCTCCATTTTAACTACTGTTGTGGCAATATCACACGAGCGAGAAGAGATAGAGCCAGAAAGAATTTCGTCAACATATTTTGACATGATCATTATTCGCTGAAAATTTGGTTCGGATGTTCAGATCAGATCCGTAGTTAATGTAATTTTATGCGTAATAGAAATTACCTGCAGTTAAATTCCACATCCCAAATTTCAAAGGATCGATACACGCATTCTCTGCGAAATTTCTCGTTTGAAAATCGCCGACGATTTTCTAACAAAACGTGAAAATTGTAAAGAACCTTTTAGAAATTCGACTTTTTTTTAAAATTCTCAATTTGCAAATTTCGAAAAAAATTTAGAAGTCTCTACTTTTCATAACTAGTAATTTTCTATTTTACAGTGTACTTGTCAAGTAAAACTGCAAGTATTTTCACAAAATTCGGCATATGAAAAGAATCAAGCATTGCACACTGTAGAAAAAAATAACTTCTTCAGAAAACTGAAACTGTGTTTTTCATTTGTCCCAAATAGGGATCTGATGTGGGTTTTTTCTGAAAATTTGCAAAACTGATTTTTTCATTTTCCGACAGAACAGCAATTGATTTTTTCATTGTTTCAGATCCCTATATGGAACATTTGTTTTCCAGAAAACATCAGATCGAAAAACATATTTCTGTTCTTCAGCTTTTTCCAAAAAACTGAATCTTATTTTTTCTTGTCGTCAGCCAACTTTCAATACTAAATCTGTGATCGACTGCCCAAAGTATCTTTTATAGTGTATAAATACTGTCAACTGGAGATCTGCATGAGTGAAGAAAACTATGTAATCCACATCTGACGTTTAGAATCGGATTCCATCCGGATCGAATCAGGTTTCAGACGCCGTATGTACTCGACACGTACGGTTCGAGTCGAATTTTAGAACTCCCTTGTCGAAAACAAATATGTTCTCAAAGTGTGCACGTTGTTGTTATATAAAGAGATATTTGTAAGAATAAGTTTAAGTTTCTGCAAGAAAAAATCATGTATCTTATATATATCAGAAATTGCAAAATAAAATCGGTGATCTACATTAGGCATGCACCAGCTTTTAACTGGTGTTAGGGAGAATTGCTATAAATCAGTTATCACGATTCTCTCAGAGCTGTAAAACATCTAATTTTGCAGAAAAATGTTTGCTCTACAAAATACATTTCTTAAAAGAATTCCAGAATCATTTCTAAAAAAACTCGGAGTATTCAAAAATAGATTAAATCACGGAAAAAAAACTGTTCGAATAGTTTTTTTTTCGTAATTTAGTACATTTTAGAATGCTCTAAGTTTTCTTAGAAATGATTCTGGAATTCTTTTAACAAATGCATTTTGTAGAGCAAACATTTTTCTACAAAATTAGATGTTTTACAGCTCTGAGAGAATCGTGATAACTGATTTATAGCAATTCTCCCGGATGCCCTAACACCAATTAAAAACTGGTGCATGCCTAATCTACATATGTGATTTTCTTTTCCTTTTTAAGCTTCACGATCTTTAAAGAACTTAATAGAAATATAGTGTTTGGCATATCTTGAAAAATCAAGTTTTTCTGTAGAACTAAAATGAGCCGAAAAACTGAAATGAAAGAAAAATTTATTTTTTATAGAAAAATCAAAATCAAGTTCTTCATATTTCAAAGAACTTAAATGAGATCTTCAAGTAGTTCTTTGAAAACGCGAAGAACACATTTTTTTAAGAGTGCGACTTAAAGAATACTTGTAAAAGTTTATGGCAAGCACGTGATTTTGAAAATACTTGCTAATTTTTTCACACACTTACAAGATAATCAAGTACTTGTATAAAGAACGTCTTTAGAACTTTTCTTGTTTGTCAAAAGATAGCTCGAATGTGTTCTATAATCGATATTAACCGTTTTTAATTGTAAATATGATGGTCGGATATATATAATAACTCAGTGATTTACAATAAATAGAGAAGCAGAAAGAAAAGAATTTATAAAAAGCAAAATATAAGATGATAAATTCAGTTTAATCCGATATCGGTTTATCTCGGTTCGCTTAACCGAACAGATGCATATTTAGCATAAATTGTTAATAAACCATGGCTTACTCAAAAAGTGTGAAAAAATTGGTGATGAACGCAGATCCATCAAATCTTATTCAGATCATAATCAAAATCTTAGTAAGATAATTTTAAGAAGTTCCTGGTATTCTTAACATGGTAATGACTAAAATGTTTGTCCAAAATTAAAAAGTGAATCTCTTATCAGGTTCACAATTTTTGTTTCATTTTTCTACGAGTTGTTAACTGAATACACTCGTTGCTGATATATTTAGCTTTGAATTTTATATTACTGACCATGAATATCTGGTTTTCTGCTTTGCCTTGGCTTTTGTTCATCGCTTAAGCTCTGTATGCATTATACTTTAAAACTACTAAAATATTATTCAATTTTGCGTGATAAGTGATTGCCACGCGTTACATTGAAGGCCGGAAACAAAAGTGGTTGTCTCTCGATAATATAAAACTGTATCAGTCTGAATTAGTCTTGCCTTATTTTTAGACTTAATAAATTCTCTTCAACAACGAAAGTCAAGTTCAGGTGGAGGTTCTCGAGGCGGTGGAGGTTCTCGAGGTGGTGGATCGCGAAGCAGTGGATCGGGAAGTAGTGGATCACGAAACGGTGGATCGCGAAGCAGTGGATCGGGAAGTAGTGGATCAGGAAGTAGTGGATCACGAAACGGTGGATCGCGAAGCAGTGGCAGTAGAAGCTCTGGTTCCAGTTCTGTTATTCGAACGTCAGGTATTCAAAATATTCGTACGGGTCAGACTATTCGTCAGCCATCCGGAACACTATGGACTAGGGCAACCAGTAAATTTTTACCGATAGCAACAAGCTACACAAGCCGAACAAGATCAATTTACATCGGAAATGGAAGTAAGAAGCATATGTTTTGATCAACGGTTTGTTAACGTGAGCATGATTATAGGACACGAAAACCTACAATACTCTTCTTATTGAGTAGAATGTTTATAGAGCTAATGTCTTGCCCACACCATATATAATGTCTCAATTCATTTCAATTTACTAAACAAAACAGTGTTAGTGGTGATTATCGTTCTTCATGGCTGTGCTAATCTTATTTAGATAACCGATACTCAACCCAATACCCGTCGACCACATACTACTACTGCACTCAGAACAATGCCTCTATTAATAGTTCAAATGCTGAAATTATATGTCCGATCACTACTTCTGTTCTTGCTGATGCATGTTGTCAAGACGAAAGTGGAGTACCATTTTGTTGTGGAAACGATATTCCAAGTGATTACGAATGGATCAATTTAAACAAAAGTGCACAAAAAATGTGAGTACTAGATAATTTGTACACATTCAATCGCTCTTATAATTAACGTTAAGCCTACTCTACTAGCATAAAGTTCCCTTTATAAAATAATGACTAAACGAAAAAAATTCAGGCAATACTTCATCTGATAGAGAATTTCACGAGCTACAAGATGGACTACCTTAAAAATTTTAGAATTCATTTTTCGCCGCTCGTTAAGTCTGTTAAATCGAAAATTTGACAGTATTGTTTTAAGTAATTCATTTTTTTCTCAGCCAGATAATGTCAGTAAGCCGAAAAAACTTCAGGATATATACTTCGAAGTGTCCTCCACAAATTGGGAAGTCTTGAAGGCAAAATGCAAAAATTGTAAATATCGCTGCTTTTTGGCTCAGTGAACATTTTTCACTTCACCTTACGGCTAGTTTCGCCCGAAGCAAGCATTTTGAAGCAAAACTCTGGGTACAAAAGTTCTTCAGAATCGAATTCGGCAGTCCCTAACGAGAGTCTTTTTTAAATGGTTTTTAAATTAAATTTTTAAAATTTTAAAATTTCGTATTTTTTAATTTAAAAATCGAAAACAGACAATTTTAAAAAAGCCTCTCATTAGAGCCTGCAAAATTCGATTTTGAACAACTTTTGTACCCAGAGTTTTGCTTCAAAATGCTTGGTTCGAGCGGAACTAGCTGTAAGGTGAGGTGAAAAATACTTTTGGCTCTGAAGTTTCCTCGGGAAGGTGAACGTTAAATTTCTGTGTCAAACTTCATGAAAAGTATTTCCCCTTATACAGGTTAATGGTCTCTCTCGAACTACGCTAGAATCAACTTTTCATATCTAAAAATGAAGTTTTTATTGAAACTTTAAAAATAGGGCAAAAAAGAAAAACGGTGTCCGCTACAAACCGGTGGAAAAAAATGGGCAGGTGAATCCTCCCCCCCTTAAGTTGAAGAGAAAAGTCTCGTTAACATTTTAAGCGCTTTGCAGCCTTACAACGTGTATCGTTAAGAAGTTGTAACCTAAATATTGGACACCTAAAAATTAAAAAGTTTAGGTTACAGGTTCTCAAAGATACATGTTGTAAGGCTGCAAAACGTCTTAAAATGTTAACGAGACTTTTCTCTTGAACTTCAGATGTCCACGACACTCTACGATAGTCAGTTTGGGAATTGTAGGCAAAACAAAATGAGGAAAAACCGTTACGGAATTAGCTTACGGTAGCAGAGTTAGCTGGCCACGCCATGTAGAAGAACTGAAGCATGTTCATGCTTCATGTTGCTTGCGTTTCTAATAAATTCTATACATTAGTGATGATGAGATCTTCAAGTGCTTTTTTCTACAGTAGCATATAAAAAACGATCTTTTTTCCATTATTCTAAAAGTTTTGGTGTTTAAAGCTTTAATAAAATAAATTTAGATACTTTAGTAAAAAAAAGTAAGTACGACCTTAATGTGACACAATGGGATTCAATCTAAACTCATCAAAATGTTTACAGTGCAAATGTCTTCAGTTTACATTTAAGTTTCAAAATACCGATTGAAAAACGTTTGTCACCGTCCATTGATAATATTCCGTAATCAGACGATGCAATTCAACCGAAAAGTTCAAATGTTTTCTTTCTTTCTAGGTTGAACTGGTTTTCCGTTTTTTTCATAACAATATCAGTGTTATTTGCCAGCATGAAATTTCTACGATCAAATCGTTCATAGTTAAAATTCAACTTATTCAACTTGGTAAAGCAGAGGGACTGTGGTTGTTACTTGACTAATTTTTGCATGAAAACAGCTCGAGAACTGTGATTTTCGTCTTTCAGTACGCTAGGCAATGAACCATCTTTTCAATAAAAAGTATACTGTTGTTGTTAAAAAATGTCATTTAGTGGATCTTTGGAAAATCAGTACGTAGTACAATATTTTGAGCTTCTTTCAAAAAGACAGCATTTTTTCTTTTTCTGTTGATTTTCCAAAAGTATGAAAATGTATGGAATCCTTTTAATTTTTTATTTATCTTTTGAACTTCAGAGCACTTTAAGTATATTATCGATCATGCTCATAGTTCTTTATTTTTATATGGTAGAAAAATAGCATAATCGAGCTCGTTTACAAATCTTTGTGTAAGATCAAAGGCGGCGCGTGACGGGAAGATGAAAGTGAATAAGACTGACAAAAGAAAACCGAGATGTTTTCTGCATTTTTTATACAAGTTTTAGTATACGGGATTACTTGTGCATTTTTTCCAGGATCACCTATAGTCGTGTCCTTAAATTTTGGTCGCATTTAGGAACCTATGAGAAAAATATAACCATTAATCGCAGGAACGATTCCTCAACAAATTCCTAAAATGTAAAGTATAGATGTGTTAGTAATTATAATTTTACATACTAATAAAGTACAATGAATATCAAACATATGGTAAAATGTGCAATTCTTCCTTCGTCTCCGTACATACATTCTATTCACAAATACTCAAGTACAAATATTCACTCATACATAGATGCTCTTGAATACAGAATATTGAATACTAGTACTGACGCTTTTTTTGGTACTTAAAGATGTGCTCGAGCATTTCATTTTAAAAATGCTGATAACTTTTTCAGATTACATCTCACAAAAAATATCTCATCTATTCTAAAAAACACCATGTAGAACAAGTAGTGTTCGTCTGCAATTCACAGATCCATGACTGACAGGCTTTTCTTTTCCATACACAGTTATCAACAATTCGACATATTAGGTGAAAAATCGAAAATATACCTTAAACAAATTCAAATACGAGAAAATGTGCTTCAGCATGTGCGTAACTATTTGATGGTTCGAAAATTTTTCTTTCAAGTACCAAAGGTTGTGAAAAGACAATTAGTCGAAAATTATACTGAAAATACAAGAACAGAAATTATGAAAATTTTTCTATAACATCGAACGAAATAAAAATTAATATTGTTACTGATTCTAAATCTAAATATTTTTAGATATCTAGCAGAGACGAAATTGCTTAGTTCTCACACTTGGAGAAAGAAAATTGTTTTTCAAACTAACAACGTTTTCGTTCGTTCATACGTCGACCGTTAGAGAATATCGAACTAGTAAGAAGACTAAAAGCATTTTTCCCCATGACTCTTGAAGATCCGGTTTTCTGGAAAATCAGTTTTTCAGAAACTCTGAAAAATAACCAAAATCTTTCTTAACAAGGCATAATTGTAGCACGCACATTTCTGATTAAAAAATGAGACATCTCCTAGCTCTACAAGATCTTTCTTTGCAAAGTTATAGAATTTATCAAAAAACAAATGATTAGCAATCATTTTTATGTAAATGGCTGGCATTTATAGCTTGTTTTCCAAAATGATGCAACAGAAGCATAAAAATATACGTAGCTCAAAAACTACTCTATCTAAACGTATAACCTTGTCTTAAAATGATGTACTCTTTTTCCTTCTATGGTTATTGCCATTTTTTTTGCTTTGTTATAAATATAACTTACCTCTCTCTAGTGGTGTGTCACTGCTTTTTTCTCCGCCTCCTTATTATACTTCTCTATTGTTTATTATATATTTATGTTATGCTTGTAAAGGACGTTTACCTTTTCTTTTGATTTTCAATATGTATTGGGAACTTTTGTGCACTCGTTTATTTTTGCAATTATCTAAGAGCGTCGCAATAAAATGTAAAATGCAATTAGCACACAAAATTCCGAAAAGTTTTAAACTGGCTCAAACTTTGCCAGAATGTTCCTCTATATATCATACATCGATATAGATAAATTAACATAAATATTTCTGGACCACTCAGCAGGTGTTCCAAAACAACTATACTTTTTCAGATAAAATCTGATTTTCTTAGCCTAGAAGCATTTGTATTAAAAATCAAAGTGGGATCAGCGCATGAAACTGCATCAAATGATATATATAATGAAAAGTATTTAGTAAGAAAACGTTTCGCAGTGAAAAAATCAAACAGGAGGCTGTCCTTAGTCATTTTTGCTACGAAAGAATTTTTTCCAAATTCGTTTTCTTTTATTTAAAATAGACGGTTTGAGGTATGAAGAGTCAAACTAATCTAAAAATAACGAGAAAAAGCTCAATGTCCACATGACATACCAAAATTATCCACTGTACTTTTTAGGAACCAATCGGACATGACTCAGATGAGAATATGAGGGTTAATTCAGATGCATACAATGATACTATAAAACAATTTAAGCCCTCCCCCTCACTCAGAAACCTATTTTCGTTCAGATACATTCCGTCTTGGCGAAAATTTCGGACAATGTGTATCTTAAGGTAACTTAGTGATTCTAGTAATTTAAGCCTCTTATCACTTGTTTTTCCAGAGTTATCCTTAGTGATGAAATAGTACGGTTTTGTACTTCCAAGATTCCGCCGTCATTTTTCGAGCTAGAAATTTCGAGTTGATTTCAAAAAATAGAGAAATGTTTTTTCTGTGTCGTAACGTCGTTGGATTTTTCAGTTTAACTTTAGTTCAGGAGAAATTTAAAAGATTTCCGAAAAGTCAATAAAATCTCTCTAACTTTTCAATCTATCTAACTTTTCCTGTTTTTCGAGACTCCTAGAAAACTCGCTCGAAAACCAAGGAGAACACAACGTCTGAGGTCGA